AATTATAAACTGATACACTGTATGTATTTACCTGTCTCACAATTATAAACTGATACACTGTATATATTTACCTGTCTCACAATTATAAACTGATACACTGTATGTATTTACCTGTCTCACAATTATAAACTGATACACTGTATGTATTTACCTGTCTCACAATTATAGACTGATACACTGTGCGTATTTACCTGTCTCACAATTATAAACTGATACACTGTGCGTATTTACCTGTCTCACAATTATAAACTGATACACTGTGCGTATTTACCTGTCTCACAATTATAAACTGATACACTGTACGTATTTACCTGTCTCACAATTATAAATTGATATACTGTACATATTTACCTGTCTCACAGTGATCTCCGCTCCATGCGTCCGGGCAGCTACAATTGTAACTTCCCTGCAGTTCGTTACACGTTCCACCATTCTGGCAAAGTGACGTGTTGCTGCACTCCAAAATATCTATAACAACATAAAATATATATACTAACCAAAAAGTTACAGGAAAACAATTGTTACGGGAAAAAGTTACCGTTTCATGAGAGGTAAAATATGGGTAATGCCGTTTGTCTGTTTGTTTGATTAAAAAGAAGCACATCCACAAAATAACTGTCATTTAGTGTTGGGGAAAAGCAAGGAAGACAGGCAGAAAAAATAGCAGGGGTCTTGACCTAGCCATGTCGGCCTCCAACCACCCGCATTGAGAGTATGCCGGCAAAAGAGTTCATGTGATTACCTATGTCATGTGGCTAAGAGATGGCATGACCGATGGAACAGATGCTTACAGTCTGTACTCTAACAAAAGCTCCCCACAAGGAACGAAGACAATGGCTTTCTTTCTGATAATACACATTATCATTTTGATAACGACAAATGACGTTTAGCTGTGATAACAGAATACTACTTAACTAAATTATGATAATGGGGGTTTTGTTGCGGGTTTCAACACCATCGTAAAAGAAGGAAATTGTTATTATGGTGTTATATTGTATCACAAGTTGATGCTGATTATATACAAAAATTGTAGACGTTTTACGCCCCAACTTGAACCAACTTAATCAGACATGGGTAAGCATGTCCAAGTCGCGGGCCGGGTTATGTAATTATGGATATCTCACGGGCCAGGCAAGAAGAAATTGGATGAAATCAGTTGAAATACCAAAACTCTAAAAAGTGACACGAAAACTGACACTAAAGCACTTTTCACTCAAGGGCATTCCATGAGAGAAAATAAAAAAAAGACGCCCACTGATTTTGATTTCAAACGCGGACAGTTTGTGTTCATTAACTATCACCTCAGCGCAGTCCACATTATAATTATCAAATACTGGGCCGACTCATGGAACATACTGAGACTATCTATGGATTGGATTTGGCCCACGGGCTATAGTTTGCCAATGCCTGATTTACATTTTAGGAGGCAGGCTGCTTCGAGCTTGCTTAAACTATGAGAGACAACCAGGGCTAAAGGGGATAAAACAGCATAGAAGACCAGATGGAGGTACACTATAAAAATAATTTTTCAAAAGCTTTTTGAAATGTATGTGTACATATTAAAATATTAAATTATCTCTCTCAC